ACTCTGTAAACACGATATACGTGATATACAAATCCAGCAGACTGCTCCATGGTAAACTCTGACACAAGCAGGAGTGTACACACACACACTCACACACGACAAGACCCATGCAGAAGACACTGGACACCAGAGCATGGGTGGCCATCATTAGATGACCCTGCAGCTCTCTCGTGTGTGACAATAAAATGCTGTTTCCTCCCACTGCTGTCTCCAGGCCTGTGAGGAAGGCACTGTACTAGGACCCGTTGGGGGCAGGACTTTCCAGGGCCACATGGTGTTTGCAGTCCTGAGGGGTGATGGGCACATGGCTGTATGGGGAGCAAGCCTCACTCCGAGATCAAGGGACCTCAGGAAGGGCTGGGGTATTAACTGAGTGAAGCCTTCTTGACAGGTGATGTCAGTACCAACAAGAGGTCTAAGCTCTCTATGTACAAAAAGTTCATCGCGACTTGCACCTTGCTGGGGCTGGAGGGTGAGTTCTCCACCTGCTTCACTGAGCTCCAGCAAAACTTCCTGAAGGATCGGCCAGACAAGCTAATGAATCTCATCCTCCTGGTCAAACACTGGTACCAGCTGGTATGTCTTCCAGCCCAGTCAATGTGGTCCCCTTCCGTACAGGGGGTGGGTGCAGGACAGAGAAAAGTAGGGATATTCTAGATTGTTTTCTATAGATGTGATATCTTTATCACATGACCAAGACTCTTGGGAAGGAAAGGTCTCATTAGGTCACACATCCCAGTCACAGTCCATTACTAAAGGCAGAAACGTCAGTCACTGAAGCAGAGACCATGGAGGAATTCTGCTCCACACAGTCTCCATCTCAAATACTCAGTCATTGGCTACAGCACAGGAAGGTCCCTAGACTGAATCTACATGAATGGGTGTGGCTGTGTGCCTGTAAACCTGTAATGACAACATCAGGTGGCAGTTTAGTTGACCCCCTGAGAAGTAGCCCCATTTATCAGCTGACAGCCTGTTTTTCTCATTGTCTCTCTCTTCTCAGTGTAAGGAGAAGCTGGGGAGGCCGCTGCCCCCCCAGTATGCCCTGGAGCTGCTCACAGTCTATGCCTGGGAACGAGGGAGTGGAGCCCCTGAGTTCAACACAGCCCAGGGCTTCCGGACAGTCTTGCAACTGGTCACCATATACAGGCAGCTTCGAATCTACTGGACAGTGTATTATGACTTTCAAGACCAGGACATCTCCAAATACCTGCACAGTCAGCTCAGAAGAGCCAGGTAGCCTCTCCCCTCATGGCTCAGCTCCTCACAGGGTAGTCTAGGCTGCAGCAGTTGAAAGGGGAGGTGGGAGCCCCCGTCAATGGAACATCTTCTGTCCTGTCACTGTGGTGGTCCTGTCCTGCTGTCAGCTGATTGACATGAGGACCACCAGCCCTGGGAGGCAGGGTGGGCTCTCCTGTCTGCAGATGAGGAGACCAGGGCTGTGACCTTGTCCAGACCCAGATGGCAGAGCATGGGTTGACTACACAGAGCGGGAACTGAGATGTTCCAGTAGAAACAGTATCATAAGGGCTGTGAGGCCATAAATATTACAGTAGACTCGTCACCCAAGATAGTGACAGGTCTTGATCCTGTGTTGTGTTCAGCCCTCACACATCATCCTTTGATTCTGGTTGGTTCAACTCTCTCCATCTCACAGATCAGAGAGGCTGAGGGACCTGCCCCAGGACACACAGCTGCTAAATGGTAGAGGATTGGAACCCAGGCCTTCCAGGTCATGGCAAAAGATCCCTCCAGGCTTGCTCTGTGAGGTAGGGCAGGGACTCAGGACAAACTTTGGATAGTGGTGCTCTGCTGGGCTCCTCCACTTCCCCTGTGAATGCTTCCTAGGACACTGGGCAGCTGATCAATTCCCTCTCTGAATGTTGCTCTGCAGGCCTGTGATCCTGGACCCTGCTGACCCAACAAGGAATGTGGCTGGTGGAAACCCATTGGGCTGGTGGCTGCTGGCACAAGAAGCTGTGGCCTGGCTGAAGTACTCATGTTTTAGTAATTATGATAAGTCCACAGTGTGCTCCTGGAAGGTGCCGGTGAGACCCTGTCATTGCTCAGTCCCCTTACACACTATTTTTGTCACTTCATGTGTTTGGAGAATATTCTCCCAATGATGTGATCTCTGGCTGAAAGTCTCCACACTCCTATGATTGCTAGCTGTTTGCCTATACTGCAGTCATTTTAGCAGCATTCAGAGATGTCACAGGCTGGCAAGATGGCCCAGTGGGTAAAGCATGTGCTGCCAACACTGGTGACCTGGGCTTGATCCCTA